ATCCATGAAAATTTCTACTACTTCTCCTACCAAATCAGTAAACAAAGCAAACATGCATCTTTGAAAAGTTGCAGGGGCATTACATAGCCCAAAAGGCATTCTTCTGAATGCAAACGTCCCAAAGGGGCACGTAAAAGTGGTTGTATCCCGAATACCCATCTAAGAAACAAAAGAATTCTTTCCCAGCTAGATGATCCAGCATTTGGTCAATAAAAGGAAGGGGGAAATGATCCTTTCGGGTAGCATTATTTAATTTCCTGTAGTCTTGACAAATCCTCCACCCAGTTATTTTTTTGGTGGCTATTAACTCTTATTTGTCATTTTCAACTACAGTAATGCCACCCTTTTTTGGAACGCATTGCACAGGAGCAACCCATTTACTATATGAGATGGGATAGATTATACCTGCATCAAGCCATTTGATGATTTCTTTTCTTACCAGCTCCTTCGTATTGGGATTCAGCCTCCTTTGATGCTCCACAGATGAGCTGTCAGGGTCTTGGAGCAAAATCTTGTGCATGCTAATTGTTGGGCTAATTCCTTTTATGTCAGCATGGTCCAGCCGATTGCTCCTTTGTAATCTTTGAGCTTTTGTGTGAGTTGAAGTTCCTGTTCATGGGTTAGCAAAGAAGAAATAATCACAGGGAGAGTGTTGTCTTTACCCAAATAAGTGTATTTCAGGTGTTCAGGTAAGGGTTTTAACTCCAAGGTAGGTGGTTGCTCTACTGAAGGCAATTTCGGTCTTTGCTCCTGCTCTGATCGGTTTAAGGATTCAAAGACCCTTTCTTTCCTTCCCTGGGGTTGGTGGAAACTGATGGATGCAAGGTATTCTTCCAGCTCTTCAAAGTCCTTCATGCCTATCTCTGGCTGCAAATGCTCCTGCTGTTCTTCTCTTATGACCGAGTCAAGGATCAAAATGCTAGAGCATTCCTCAGTGTTATCTTCATCAAACTTTATTGCTTTCATGACATTAAACTTCACTTCTTCTCCGTTTACACTCTTATGATAGCATCACTGGTAGCCAGGAATGGTCTGCCCAGAATTATTGGAACTTCTTGATCTGCTTCAAAATCTAAGATGATGAAGTCAGCTGGTAGAATGAACTTGTCTACTTGGACAAAGACATTCTCAATTTTTCCTTCTGGCTTGGCTATAGATCGGTCTGCAAGTTGAAGAGTGACTGTGGTTGGTCTTGCTGCTCCTATGTCAAGCTGCTTGAAGATGGAAGCTGGCATTAGATTTACACTTGAGCCCAGATCACAAAGTGCCCGACCAAGATAGTTCTTCCCAACTGTACACGGGATGGTGAATATACCAGGATCCTTTAGTTTGGGAGGAATTTTAGTCAGGTACTTGCACGATTGTTGAGTGAGGGCTACGGTCTCAAACTCTTCGATCTTTCTTCTTTTTGACAAAATGTTCTTCATAAATTTTGCATACGAAGGCATTTGCTCCAGAGCTTCTACTAGAGTAATGTTTATGTGAAGTTGTTTCATCAAGTCAAGAAACTGGCTAAACTGCTTATCCTCGTGTTGCTTTTTCAACCTCTGTGGAAAAGGAGGCTCAATCGGTTCACTCCTTCTCTTGCATGGGGGAACATAAGTTGGAACTGAAACTGGTTCACTGACTTTTGTTGCTCCAAGGTCTGCTACAGTTCATTCCCAGATTTAAACGTTGATGTCCCCATCAATGTACAAGACTCAATCCAGGAAACAATCAATTATTCCAACACAATATCACACAGACAATCAAGAGATCACTATGCTAAGCATGACTGAATCAATGCAAGGAACTCCTAACAATGCCTTATATTCTCATGAACATGTCAGAATCTAGCTTGGACACCCCTCACCAAGATAATCATATAACGCTCAACACTCAAGTGTTTAAGGGAGTAACAATCACTCAATCCATCACAACAATAACATTACCATAAGCTTGATCATATTCTCAAGTTCCTAAAGATGAGGAACATTAACACATGCATAATTGATCAAAAGGACTTCACAGGTTGTAACTTGGCCGAGTTTAATGGGTAGGAATATATGGAAAGTAGCTCAAACAACACTGAGATTGAAAACTGATATTATTTAATTTTTAACACCTTCAACTCAATGATTTTTGCTCCACTAACATTCCCACAGAATTTCGGGAATTAATTCCTTTCAACCACCTTTTCTTTACATTCACCCTTTTTTTTTCTTTTTCAAAACTTTTTGTTTTAAGGGTACAGATGAAATTTTACCTCCCCTAATTATTTGACCTCTGTGGAGCTTACCTCAATTTATTTGTTTTCTTTTCAACATTTCAGTAATTCAATCTCAATCAAGGTAAGTCATATGGATATAGGCTAAGCCATCAATCAGGCCATAGGTCATTTAACAACAAATAAGTTCAGGCTCAAGGGGCTAACAATGGAAAAATTCATACAGGTGGGTTATTTTTGGCCAATAGCTAACAAGAACAAAATGCCTTTATCATATCAATCAATACATGCATAACAGAGAAACAGAGCAAGTTCTAGAATGCTATCACAGTGAGGTCTCGCAGAATAAAATAAGTGTTTAAGCAAAAAACCTCACCAGCTATGATGTTAAGCTAGACCTCTAAAAGAACATCAGGCATCATTAATCATTCAAGCACAAAATTCAGACAAACGAGCAATCATGAAATCTACTCATGCCAATACAATATTATGCCAGAAGTACATACCAAACATGATTCCTAGGATGAATCAGGAAAATTAACTAGGAAAAGCATATCTAAACCTGGGACTTGCTCAGAAAATAATATTTTTTTTAAACATATATAGCACACAAAATACTATAAAAATAACTAAGAAAATTAAAAGAGTTAGAATATCTCCCCTGATAGAAGCATTGCAGCAGTTCTAAGGTGCAAGCCTACCATTCCCAGATTTAGAGAATTGTTGTCCTCAGCAATAATTAAACCACAAGAAGAAGAAAAACCAGCACAATAGAACAAACAGTGGCATATAGAAGAAACTATAATGCGCACATTAAAACATCAGAGAAAGATATACTAACACAAAGTAACTAAAAAGAAAAATGATAAACAGAAAAATAAACTAATATACAAGATCTCCATCAGCAAGGAGATAAACTCAACCCTCCATGTCATCCCCCTCAGCAGCGTGGGATGACTCAGCAAATGGAAGGTCCGGTGGTACTGGTTGCCTTGGTGTATGAGACCACCATTCCCAGATTTGCTCCAAACCATGGAGCCATGTTAAGAACTCTTTGAAATTTTGATTTTTCCGAGAGATAGAGTCTCGGTGTCTGTAACACCCTTAATGAGGCCATCAAAGGTGTAACATTGCTTGACATTCAATGCGCGGAATCCATGTACTTAAGCGTGGTTAACTTAAAATTTACTAATGGGAATTAATTTCGTTCATTCCCCTAACTTATCTATTCCTCTAGTCATGAGTTTCTCTTTTTCTTTGTCTACGGTCTACTTACAAATTAATCTCTACTTGGTTACCCTACTTATACTTATGCGCGATTTTAGGAGCTCACTTACATGATCATAATTTTAGTGTTGACTACTACCCAGTGGGTAGTTACTTAAGTGTCTTATGCGGATAGTGGCTTATGTTACTTAATCTTTCCTACTAAATTCATAAGTCCATAAAAACATAAACATCCCAAAATATCGTACTTCAAAGGCATATAAGATGTTCAAAATAATCTAAGTGGCATAGTCTATTACAGTCATCCCAAATTAGAACTTAGGTACACCCTTAGGAAGGTGCCTCTTCAAGCCACATGGGCCCAGCTAGAGCAGATATAAGATAGTCTGCCTCCAAGAGCTTTGCTTCGGCTAGTAAGTTCCTAAATATCTCCGTTAGTTTGGAGTCATTATCAACTGCACGTGGTTGCGCAGGTTCCTCTTCAACTCGTACCAGCCTCTTTCCCTGTCTTACCCATTTAGTCATTTTTTTCCTGAAAGTGGGTTTCCCCAAAGAGGGGTGAGATTGGGGGTCTCAGTAAGGACTCACAGTTGGAGCAACCTCCAAACCATGATGCTTACTCCTGCAATAGTCACATAATAACATGTACAATAATAGAATGGCAAAACATTGGAAACATAGTTTGGAAAATAATCATGCTTTTATATCATCATACCAATCCTGCCATGGCAATTACTCTCCATGGTCTTATGGACGAATACCCAGGGTCCTCGTCAGGTTGCCTCTGTGGTATTAGTGCACATGCCATCTTACAAAACTTGCATGAATAAACATTAGTTCCAAACAACCAAACATATCATGTAATGCATCATATAACATATTGCAGTCAAACCTCACTTTAACATAAAGGGGGTGGCAACCATAGGGTAGCCGCTTCAACAACCATAAATCACTTACCCTTTTTCGCTTTGTAAATTCTTCCCAGAGGTGATGGATTCGGCCAAATGAAGGCCCTAGTATCTTGGATCTCTTTTCAAGCTTTGGTTTGTCCTAGTCACATATTCAACCTTAGTACATGGTTCTAAAATTAAAAGATCTAAACTTTAATATTCTTCATGTCATAGGTCCGGCTCTCTAAAAATGCCTAGGAGATAATTTTTACTAATTGTTTTCATGCATAAGTCATATTCTATGGCATACATTTCGGCCACACATCATGGTATTAAGAAAACCTTCACATATTTCCCTTTTAGGCTTATTAGGGTTCGGCCACTTAGAGGGTGCATGCCTAGAGATAATTTTGACAACATGTTCATGGGTCTAATACTCATCAAGTTCGGCCATTTAGGGTTAATGTCATTTAGGTGGTGATTCTTCAAGTAATGCTTTTCTACATGTTGTTTAAAACCTCTACTTCAACACTTTTCATATTACCTTAAAGAACATATTCAATATCTAGTCGGGTACATATAGATTCGGCCATTTAGGGTTAGGTTGCTTAGTAAATATTGTGAATATTTAGAGGGTGCATGCATACCATTGAGGTTCGGCCACTTAGAGATGATATACCTAAGAGGTGATTTTAAAGATGAAAGATGCATGCATGGCTTTATTCGTCCAAGATCTAGTCATATAAACTAGTTAGAGTTTATTCTACTTACTTGAAGGGATGAAGGGCTCATGAAATCTTACCTCAAAGATGATGTCTAAAGTATAACTCCAACTTGATCTTCAAGTAGTCTTCTAGGATTGAGAGTTGCTTCCAACCACTTCTTAATCTCTCTTTACGTAAGTCTAAGAGGAGAGGAGAGGTGTTGGTTCACTTGTTTCTTGTTTATGAGTGGGTGGCCGACGCTAGAAGTGAGGGAGTGTGTCCTTGCTTTGGTTCTTTAGGTAGTGTACGGCTAGGAAGGGGAGAGATCTTTGTTTGTACACCTTTTTATTCAAGTCTCCCTAATCATCATGCCTAGGATAGGATAGGCTAGGTCCTGGTTGAATGTGGGGTAAGCAAGTCTCCTCACATTGTTCAAGGTTGTCATAAGCATGGGGGGGGTAATGAGAGTGTGTAGAGTGTAGGACACTCAAGGTGTCATATAAGTCACTTATTCTCCTTGGTCCTTTAGGGAGGTGTGCGCATGGGGAGGAGAGGTAGTCATGCATGAGTGTTCTATACTCTATCTCCTTTTCATGAAGTCTTTCACGTGGATCTAGGGGAGGAAGGGATTTTGAGTGTTTCCTTCTTGCATCTCACGCCTAGGGTAGAGAAAGCAAGGTTCAACTTTGATTCACCAATAAGATCATTGGTTAGCGTGTGTCATGGTTGTGTAGGGTACTCAATGTGTGGTGTGTAAAACAAGCAAGCTCCATGTCATGCACCAAGTGATGAGGGGTTCACATAAAGAGGGAGGGTGGGAGCTTAAGGTGTCATGGTGTTCTTCCCAATGCAGGGAGGTTGAATAAGGTAGCTTTGAGTGTGCAACACTCAATATAGAGTGTGTAAGACAAGTCATGCTCTTGACTCCTTTCATGATGACAATTTCGCCTAGGGGGAGGGGAAAAGTGGATCTACTTTTTAATCATGAATAAGGAAAGTATTGGGTTCATGAGTCTTTGATTTGTCATGCATGGCTTGGAGTGTGGGAGAAGAAAGTTTCCCTTTTCCTTGTCATGAGTGCGCCCTCCAAGGTGTGTAAGGAGAAAAGGTGAGTTGCTTTTTGGAGAAGATCATCACATGCATGGTTAAGGCTTGGAGTGTGGAAGAAGCAATCTTCCTTTCTCCATCATTTTGCGTCATCCAAGGTGGGTATGGAAAGTAGAGTTGCTTTTGGAGGAAGGAAATCACATGCATGGTTAAGGCTTGGAGTGTGTCTTACTCAAGCTCTTACTTGTCCATTCTTTCCTTAAGTTGCGCCTAGGGAGTGTGGAAATCAACACCACTCCCTTTTCTTCTTGTCATGGCCGAGTTTGCTATTCCAAGGGAGGTGGAGCTCATTCAAATTCCTCCAATCATTTGATGACACCTCATCTAGGGTTGTTCCTTTGAATTGGGTTGGGCTTGGTGAGTGTCTAGGCCCATTAGGTTAATAAGTGTTGGACCCTTTGTAATTGGGTCAAGGCTAGGTGGTGTGGGCTTGGATCTTGGTCTAGATGCTAATTGGGCCATTTCTTATAAAATGGGCTTGCATTGCTTTGGGCTTGAATCCTTTAACTTAGTTATATTCTTAAGTAGGTTGGGCTTTAACTTTATTTGGGCTTTAAACCACATTGGGCTAAGTTATTAATTATCTTATTTAAAGTGGGTTCTAACTTAGGACTAATGCTGCTTATTCAAAGCTACTAGTTCACTGAATATGGACTTGATCCCTTTTCATTTCATTTCATTAGGCTAATTTCGAGTACAAGATTTTTGGGTTATTACAGTGTCTCTTGTCAAAATTCAGCTCTTGATGTCTCTTCCAACTTGTATCAAAGAGTTTCACCACCTTATTTCTTAATACCTTCTTCATTATAGGATGACGCCTCCGTTTGGATTTCCTCCCATGTTTGTCATCATCCTCATTGGGGATTTTGCTGGTATGGGAAGAGGGATCTTTATTTTTCAATTCAGTTTCCTCTTCCTTCAATGCTTCAATCACCGCCTCCTTATTAATCAAGAAGACATTTTTCTGAGGTTGAGGAAGCTCCTCCAATTCCACCTTTATGACACCATCTTCCTTGGCATCATCCGCTGCACTTTGTTTTTCTTTTACTTCAAGGCTAAAACAATCATCTTTGTGAGAAGACTGTTTTAGAGAATCAAAGACATTGATGGTAACGGTTTCATCATTCATTCTTAGCTCAAGCTTCCTCTTTTCAACATCAATTAATGCCCGAGCAGTGGCCAAGAAAGGTCTACCCAACAAAAGAGGCATGTCAACTACCCCTTCCATATCCAACACTACAAAATCAGCAGGAAAGATGAACTTGTCCACCTTCACAAGAACATCTTCAATAATACCACTAGGCTTCCTCAAAGACTTATCAGCAAGTTCAAGAGATGCTAAAGTAGGCTTCAACTCGGTGATCCCCAAGGAATTACAAATAGAAAGGGGCATCAAATTAATGCTAGCCCCTAGATCACATAATGCTCTGCCAATTTTTGTGTTACCAATTTCAACAGAAATATTGAAGCTCCCTAGATCATGACGCTTAGGCGGGAACTTCTTTGTAATAATAGCACTACACTCCTCAGTGAGTGTCACCGTTTGGCATTCTTGGAACTTGTGCTTTCTTGACAACAAATCCTTCATGAACTTGGCATAATTTGGCATGCTAGCCAAGGCTTCAGCAAAAGGGATATTGATATGCAATTTCTTGAATATATCAAGAAACCTTCCATAATGTTGCTTCTGATCCTCCTTCTTGAATCTGTCAGGATAAGGTGCCATGGCTCTCACATATTCAGGACTCAATTCAAACTTCTTCTTTTCAATTGGCTTCTCCACTTCAGCAGGTTTTTTAATTTCTTTTTCTGGCTCCTTAACCTCTTTTAGCTTCTTTTCAGCTTCCATATTTATTCTCGGCTTTCCTGGAGCTGCTACCACTTTTCCACTTCTAGTTGTGATAAACATACAATCCTCCTTGGGATTTGTAACTGTGTTACTAGGAAAAGTACCTGGAATTCTTTCTGAAACTTGCTTTGCCAATTGGCCTATCTGATTCTCCAGGTTTTTTATGGAAGCATTTGTATTTTTGTAGTTGGCTCTAGTCTCCTCTATAAAGGTATTAGTGGTCTGAGCCATCTCATTAGAAGTCTTGGCCATTTGTGCAAAGGCTTTTTCCCACTCAACAGGTTCTCGTTGTTGACTCTGTGAAGGCTGAGTATAATTATTAGAATTGAAATCCATGCCAACTCCCTGAGCTCTCCGCTGAAAATTGTTACCACCACCACCAGAAAAATTCTGATTTCTCTGAAGATTTGGCTGTTGAGGGCGTTGGTCATACCATATACCATTCACCTGCATTTGTTGAGGTGAATCAGAAGAAGCAAGAGATGGACATTCATTAGGAGCATGACTGTCCGTACAATAGTCACAGACAAAGGTAACAGATTGAGCTTGAACTCCCGCGATCTGCATCTTGTCAAGCCTGGAAGTCAAACTAGCCATTTATTGAGCTAGCAATTTATTTTCAGCCAGAACTGACTCATTACCTTCTAGATGAAGGCTACCTTTCTTAGACTTTGAAGATACCCCTTGATTTTCATTCCTGGCCATCCTCTCTATCAGCTCCAGAGTTTCATTCGCCCTCATGGTTTTAATAGTACCACCAGCTGCACCATTCAAAACCATTCTATCTTCAGGTGTGATGCCATTGAAAAATATTCTGACTTGATTACCAGCAGTCAAATTATAATGAGGGCACCTCCTCATCAAGTCCTTGAACCTGTTCCAGGCTGCACACAATGTTTCACCCTCAGTTTGAGTGAAGTTGGTGATATCATTCACCATTTGATTGTATCTCTCCATGGAAAAGAACTCTGCAAAGAACTTTGTAGACAAATCCTCCCATGTAGCAATGCTTCGTGCAGGCTGCCTTTCCAGCCAGCTAAGTGCTTCTCCCTTTACAGCAAAAAGGAATAATCTCAACCGGATAGCATCATCAGACACCCGAGGGTGCTTGGTTGAGTCACATATCATTAAGAACCGGTCTATGAACCTGTGAGGATCCTCATGCTCATCTCCTCGAAATTGAACTCTCTCCACCAACTGAATTATGGAAGACTTCAACTCCCAATTATTGTCAGCAATATTCGGTTGGACAATACTTGAATTAGGCCTGTTGAAGGATGGAGTGAGGATGGTATCCATAAGTGGATTTTCAGCTTCATTATTCGCTGCCATGGTTGGGATTTCAGGTGCTTCTTCAGATTGAGCACTTGGCACTTTTGATTTCTTCTGAGCAAGTCTTCTGTTTCTCCTTTCAAACCTTGTAATTTCAGGATCAAATAACAATTTTGTAGGATCAACCTTGCCTCGCATAAAACTTCAAGAGAAGATTAGTAGCAATGTTCAAAACAAATTAAAACAAGAATAGAAGAAAATAAAATAAAATAATCACAAAAAGAAAGAAAAATCTGGAAATTCAAGATTATAAGATATAAGAAATCACAATCCCCGGCAACGGCGCCAATTGCTTGATACAGTCCGGCAAGTGTACCGATCGTTCAAGTAATAAAGTGATAAGTAAGTTATCGTCTCCACAGGGATTGTGAGCGAATATCTTATAAACGTCCTTTCAAGATATAAAACCCAAGTGATTTGAAGAACAATAGAAATTAAAGACAAAGACGTATTTTTGGATTTTAAAAAATAAGAGAATGATGCAAAATGATTTGGATAAAAATATGAGAGATATTGCAGGTAAGTACACTCGCCCTATGATCCCCTCTTTTCACTACGGATTGATTCACATTGCTCAATTAAAATAAACAAATAAACAATTTATCATCCAAACAATTATTAGCTAAACCCCAATTCCTTGCAAATTTAGCCCTTTAATCACAATTAAAACCCCAATTCCTTGCAATGTTTCAATTGAGATCAAGCATTACACAGATAAATTAAACGTTTGTAATCAAGAATGCGTCTATTCCTAGCACGCATGTTAATTATTATCCTACCCCCTTTCTGGACCAAAACCCCAATATTCCTATCTAGGGTTCTAACCCTCAGATTATCATTCACTACTAAACTGATCAGATTTAATATAAACAATAAGCAATACGCACAGAGTAGGCATAAATCAATTAAATTAAAGAGCGAAAAGTAAACCAATCCATAACTAAACAAAAGGTTCACATAGGGTTTGTGACCTTACCCACAATAAAAGAAAACTAGCCAAACATAATCATGGCTAAAACTAATCCAATATTCAAAAGCATAAAATTACAGAGAAAAGAGAAGAAGAAGAACTATAGAAGAATCCTCCTGAGCTCTTCCGTCGGTCTCCTTCTGAAGAAATAGGTCTGAATCCCTAATTCTGTCAAAAGGATCCTATTTATAGGACTCTTTTCCTTCTTCCAAAAATACCCTCATAGCATCACGGTACAATTTCCCGCAACCCGACGCCAGTAGGCGCCGGTGTGGCGCTACTTTGCGCGGAGTTGCTGCCTCGAATACCAAAAGTCGGACCTGATTGCGTGGACCGGCGCCAGTCCTTCACATTGGGGCGCCAATTGGCGCCATCCTCCCTTGACTTTGGGCGCCTAGTGGCACCAAGAATCCTTCTTGTTGGGCGCCTAGTGGCGCCATGTAATAGTAATGCATGTTGCGCCAATTGGCGCCACTTTGGTGACATGATGCGCCGCTGGAAATTCTCCGCTGTAGTTTCCGTGATCTGACGCGGGTCTGCGCCATTTTGGTGCCAACTTGCACCAAGTTTCTGTCTTTTGTACTGTGTAACCTTTCCAATCCGGCGCTGGTTTGTGTCAACAGGCTTTTATAATTTTTACTTCTTTTACCTGTAAAAACACAACCAAAAGGTAAATATTATTGATATAGAAAGAATCAATATAATTAGCAAATATGCATTTAAATTGCTCTCTTATGACCCAATTCTTATCAATTTTAACATGGAAAAACCACGCTTGCGAGAGGCACATCAACAGGTGTTGCGTCATCCAGTTTGATTTCAGCAGACTCATTGTTCTGGACCTTCTCTTTTGGTCCTGTCTGAGCTTCAAGGTGTGAAGGGTCAGTGGCTTCTTCAACTTCCTTTCCTATGGGCTGTTTTGCTGGTTCGCGCTTTCGAGGTCGTGCCACTAAATCTGGCGGTGGTAAAGTCTTTCCATCTCGTAGGCTTATAGCATTACAATGCTCCTAGTTATCCTAAGACGGCTTTTCTGTGTCACTAGGGAGTGTCCCTGGTTGCCTCTGTTTGAGTGCTCCAGCCAGCTGACCAATTTGGGTTTCTAGGTTTCGCATGGCTGCGCTGTTCTGATTCATGTACTCCTTGACAGAAGTCTCAAAGGATTGGGACTTCCCTTCACCCTTATCCCAGTTTTGTTGGTTCTGCTTGGGATACGGGGGTCGGTTCTGGTAGTTTCCTCCACTACCTCCAGCATTATTCTGATTCCTCTAGCCTCGGTTATTGTTCCCTTGATAGTTGTCATTGCTCCTGTTGTTGTTGTCATACCCTCCTGCATAGCATACAACAGCTAGATTTTTACAGTCCTCGTATTCATGAGGACCTCCACAAGTGGGGCAAGTCTGACTTGATTGAGTCAAGAGAAGTTGCTCAGTTGGTTTTTTCTGTTCCATAGGCTTCCAGTTTTTTATAGTGTTCTGGAGCGAAGCCATTTGTGCTGAAAGAGCATCAGCTGAGCTTAGCTCAAGAACTCCTGCTTTCTTAGGAGCACTGTGTCGTGTGGAAGGCCATGAAATATGTTTTTTTGAAAGTTTTTCCAACAACTGGTAGGTTTCTGGATAAGTAAAATCCAAAAGATCTCCCCCTGCAGCTGCATCAACAGTTGCTTTCAATGGTGGGGTTAAGCCATGATAAAACGTGTGAATGATGCCCCAATCAGAAACTCCATGATTCGGGCAAATTCGTATCAACTCTTTAAAGCGTTCCCACGCTTCATACAGACTTTCTCCATCATACATTTGAAAGGAAGCTATATCAGCCCTCACTTGGGCTTGTTTTGCTTGGGAGAAAAATCGGGTAACAAACTGTTCCGCCAATTGCTCCCAACTGGTGATGGAGTTTGGGGGCAATGTTCTCCTCCATTCTTTGGCTTTTCCAGCTAAGGAAAATGGAAAAAGCCGCATCCGCATGTTTTCTTCCGAAATACCATGAACTTTGAAATTATCAACTATCTCAGTGAAATTGTCCAAATGACTGTGAGGGTCTTCCATGGGTAGTCCATGGAACTGACCAGCGTTCATAATCATTTGGAACATTGCAGGTTTCATTTCAAAGTTCGGGATATTCAAAGGAGGGGGAACATAGCCTCGTTCTGGACCATTTCTGAAGGGAGCAGCCATATCATTCAATGATGGCCCTCTTCCTTCATTCGGTCCTTGTTCAGGCTCATGATTATGATTTCCATTGTTATCATTGTTTACAACCTCCGCCATTGTAATGTTTCTCAACCTTTGAACTCTTCTTCTATTTCTGAAGGTTCTCTCGGGTTCTGGATCAAAAAGTACTATTTCCAGTCCAAGTTCTGTAGGTTCTGTGCTCATACAAATGGAGGAGGTCTATCAAAACAAAAAGACTGCAATTAAACAACAAAAATGTTTCCTTAAAAACGCCCTTTCTTGCCAAATGATCCCCGGCAACGGCGCCAATTGCTTGGTCGAACCGAGAGCTGCTCGGGAATATCTTTTCAGAGAGCAAGAGTGCAGAGTAATAATCAGGATTGCCAACAGGAGCAATCTACTCTGACTAAGAGCAACCCTCTTCAACTATACGCAAGCGTACGTGTCAAGCAATATAGGGTATTGTAGCCCCAGAATTATCGTCCTCAGGGAGCAGTTGTGAAGTAAGAAGCGCTAAAGGAAACTTAATTTGTAAAATGGAGCAATAAAAGAAAGTACTATTCTCAGCTAAGCTTCACAAAGAGCAATCTCTGGGCAGCTAGTTAAACAATGTTAACCATTCTGAACCAGATGAGAGCAGTGAATGACTTAGCACGGTCATCGAATAAAAAGGCATCAATTTAAGTAACTTCAAGAGCAGTCAACGAAATGAAAGTAAGAGCATCAGCTGGTAAAACACAGTTCAGTTATCGTGAGGAAAAGGTTGTGATAGAAGTTTGAGTTAAGATTAATTTCAGAAAAAGTCAAGTAGGTGTTACGGGTTCCATGTTTTCATCCCTTTGGTTAACCCTGCTTGGTAGCATATTTTACAAGTGGATTTTGCTCCTTCCCTTGTTTTGCTATAGGTAAGCAGAGGGTAAGGCCTTACTCTCCACGTTACTCCATAGTACTTGGAGTTATATGCAAGGAAACCATGCTGCCTTCTCAAAAGAGCATGGATTCACATGGCAGTGCTCCCCATTCCAGGTGTTTCTCCCTCCTTTCTTCAGGCTAAACTACCCCAGGATCTTGAGAATGCTCCACACGCCCTTGTCAGTGTTTCATCAACCGAGTGGTCCCGGGATGAGGTTGCCAGCCCAAAGGGTTTCACAAAATCAATAAATTAAACCAAAGAGCAACTCAAAATTCATTTATAAAATATGTGTTCCTTACAAAGTTATCCTGAGACAAAAGGGATTACTTCTATGGAACCCTCACCTACTTAGAGGAAGTTAGCTCCTAGTGAGCATTTTTACAAAAAGAAAACAAAGAGATGACGAGTCCTAGGATGGGCGCTGATGATCTTCTTTATGAGGATTGCTTGTTCCTTTTATAGGGTTCTTCATTTGATCTTCATTGTTCCTTTCATCAAGGGTCGTGCTTTGTTTAAATCCTCTCCAATGGTAGCTTTGCTTCTTGCCAGCTCAGCTCCGAATAGAAATCCTCTCCAATGGTAGCCTTGCTTTTTGCCAGCTTGGCCTTAAATGGAAGTGGTCCCCCTTGCTTTTGGCTCCCTTTGTGAGTGGGAGTATCGGATTCAGGGAGGCACCTCCACTCCTTCTGCTGCAGCTGACGTGGCGGCTTTTGATTGCTCAGCTTCTTTGCTTTCGTACTGTAGCAGAGGTAGCACCTCCACCTTCTCTGTTGTGGCTGACGTGGCGGCTTCCCATTGCTTCCTTTGACTGCTGTTGTACTACAGCAGGCTTTTTTTTTTTTTTTTTTGCGCAACACTCCTTCTTCTCTCTTCATTTTGTGGTTCCTTCTGATGGGCCTTAGGTGTCCTGAACAAAGCAAACTAACCCAATAGTCATATGTGAAAAAGATAATGTTAAATTTGCTCCAGGTCTACCTTAACTCCCACTTTCGGTATTGCTCTGGTCCACTATTCAAAACAGTTGCTCTATATGGAAAGAAGAAGGTTGAAGGGAGTGATTTATAACCAAAACATGGGTTTTGTGGAACAATTTACACTTAATGGGCCTCAACTCTTGAGGACCATCAGTCACACTGAGCGTTTTAGCGTCCTGGCCTTAAACGTGTGTAAAAACTGGACGGGCGCTAAAACGTTGAAACCAAACGTTTTAGCGCCAGGCCAATTTTTGGGTCAGTCATTTCCACGAACACCTTGTGTGTGTGTGCGCTGGGTATGTTGTGTAAAACAATTTGGAGAACTCTCTCATCCCCAAAATATCAGACAAAGGCAATAGAACCAGTAGAATAATACAAATAAAACTAATATCAACATGCAATCCTAAGAATGATGCAGGAAATCAACATGTGAAATACCCTAGAAAATGCCCCAATAAGTTCTATGATTCAGATATGATATATGATGGAGAGAAAAGAGATGAGAGACATACCGTGATGTTGATGAGAGGATGTGGAGGAAACTATGAAGAATGATGATACCAATGTGAGAGCATAAACCAGTTGTGGAAAATAGAGGGAAGGAAGAATGTAAAAGAAAAAGAGAGGAGAAACCGTGTTATGTCGAATTAGTGACAGGGCGCTAAAACGTTGGCTGACCAGCGCTTTAGCGTCCTTGTCCAGAGAAAAATGCACACTTTGTGCAGCACAGCGCTAAAACGGTCAGAATTAGCGCTTTAGCGCGGTTGGCCAGAGTGCCTGTATTGGTGTTGTTGGTGAACGCTAAAACGCTCATAGTGAACGTCTTAGCGCGCACAACCAGAGAGTTTCATAATGATGCAACTCTAGGGACGCTAAAACGGTCAGGATTAACGTTTTAGCGCCCAGCACGTAGCAAAAAAAATTTCTTTGATTTTTTTCAAAATTTTTCCCCCTTTACTTCTTCATCTTATGGATATGGTATGAACATGGAATTACATACCTAGTACAGTGGGTTGCCTCCCACTCAGCGCGTGTTTAACGTCGCGAGCCTGACGGGTATGATCTATTTTACCTCTAATAGAGCAACTGTCAGTAGTTGCCTATCCACAGCACTTCCAACATATAACTTCAATCGTTGACCATTGACTGTAAAACTTCTGTCCGAATCCAAAGAACTGATTTCTACAGCCCCATATGGTTTCATGTCTTTTACCACAAACGGTCCAGACCATCTAGACTTTAACTTCCCTGGAAACAGCTTCAACCTGGAATTGAACAGAAGTACTTGATCCCCCACCTTGAAGTCTCTAGGTGTGATCTTCCTATCATGCCATAGCTTTGTCTTTTCCTTATACAAACTGGCACTTTCATAAGCAGACAAACGAAACTCATCCAATTCATCCAGCTGTAATAATCTTTTCTGTCCCGCTGCTTTGGAATCAAAATTCAGATACCTCACAGCCCACAAAGCCTTGTGCTCCAATCCAACTGGCAAATGGCATGCTTTTCCAAACAGCAACTGAAATGGAGACATCCCAATAGGAGTTTTGAAAGCGGTCCTATACGCCCATAAAGTGTCATCAAGTTTCTTGGACCACTGGGTCCTAGCATTCCCAACAGTCTTCTCCAATATTCTCTTCAATTCCCTGTTGGAAATCTCAACCTGACCACAAGTCTGTGGGTGGTATGGAGTGCTTATTTTGTGCCTCACCCCATACTTAGCCAAGGCATACTCCACCATCCTATTATCAAAATGAGTGCCCCCATCACTAATGATAGCTCTAGGGACTCCAAATCTTGAAAATATATGCTTCCTCAGAAAAGCAATCACAACTCTGGAATCATTGGTTGTTGTAGCTATGGCCTCAACCCATTTGGAAACATAGTCAACTGCCACCAATATGTACTTGTTAGAGTAGGAAGAAGGGAAAGGTCCCATAAAATCCATACCCCAAACATCAAAGATCTCCACTTCCTGGATATTGTTCAACGGCATCTCATGTCGCCTAGAAATATTCCCAGTTCTCTGACAGTTGTCACATGCCTCCACAAACTTCTTTGCATCCTTGTATAAGGTGGGCCAGTAGAAGCCACTCAACAATACTTTTGCTGCAGTTCTCTCACCTGCAAAATGTCCACCATATGCAGAACCATGACAATGCCACAACACATCCTTATGTTCTTCCTCTGGAATACACCGTCTGATCACACTATCTGAACATCTATAGAAAAGATATGGCTCATCCCAAATGTATCTCTTAACATCATGCAGAAATTTCTTCCTCTGTTGCCATGTGAAATCCTTAGGCATCAATCCAACAGCTTTATAGTTGGCGAAATCAGCAAACCATGGTGGGGTACTGATAGATAAGACTTTATCCCTAACCATCTCTGTGACAGCACATATTGCCAAAACATGTTCATCAGGAAACTCTTCTCTGATCACTACTTCTGGTCCTTCTTGAAGCTCTTTTTCTGTAATCCTGGATAAGTGATCAGCCACCAAGTTTTCAACTCCCTTTTTGTCCTTGATCTCTACCTCAAACTCTTGCAACAGTAACATCCAGCGGAGCAACCTGGGTTTAGCATCCTGCTTGCTTAACAAATACTTTAAAGCTGCATGGTCAGTGTAAACAATAACTTTTGATCCTAACAGATATGGCCTGAATTTGTCAAATGCATACACAATTGCCAGTAATTCTTTTTCTGTAGTAGCATAATTCTTTTGTGCATCATTTAAGATCTTACTGGCATAGTAAATGACATGCAACAATTTATTCACTCTTTGGCCTAGTACCACTCCTACAGCATAGTCACTGGCATCACACATTAATTCAAATGGTAATGAGAAATCAGGTGCCATCATGATAGGTGCAGTGGTCAACTTTTCTTTCAAAACATGAAATGCATGCAGACATTCATCATCAAACAGGAACTCTTGGTCCTTGACCAATAACTTGCATAAGGGCTTGGCAATTTTTGAAAAATCTTTTATGAACCGCCTATAAAATCCTGCATGACCAAGAAAACTCCTCACACCCTTAACATTAACAGGTGGAGGGAGTTTCTCAATCACAGAAATTTTTGCCCTATCCACTTCTATTCCTGTTCTAGACACCTTGTGTCCAAGAACGATACCTTCTGTCACCATGAAGTGACATTTCTCCCAGTTCAAAACCAAATTACAGTCCCGGCATCTTTTTAAGACAGAATCTAAGTTTTTCAGACATACATTAAAATCAGACCCAAATACAGAAAAATCATCCATAAATATTTCTATACATTCCTCTACCATATCAGAGAAAATGGAAAGCATGCACCTTTGGAAAGTGGCAGGAGCATTGCATAGACCAAAAGGCATCCTCCGATATGCGAAAATTCCATATGGACATGTAAATGCGGTCTTCTCCTGGTCCTCTGGTGCCACAGCTATCTGATTGTACCCTGAATAACCATCCAAGAAACAATAGAAAGCATGTCCTGCCAACCTCTCTAGCATCTGATCCAAGAAAGGAAGTGGAAAATGATCCTTCCTGGTTGCCTTGTTCAACCTCCGATAGTCAATACACATTCTCCAACCAGTGATTGTCCTTGTGGGAATCAGTTCATTATTCTCATTTTTCACCACAGTCATCCCCCCTTTCTTGGGCACTGTCTGCACAGGACTCACCCAAGCACTGTCTGAAATAGGGTAAATCATCCCAGCATCAAGCAACTTCACAACCTCCTTCCTCACTACCTCCTTCATAGTGGGGTTGAGTCTCCTCTGTGGTTGCCTTACTGGTTTGACCTCTTCTTCCATCAATATTTTATGGGTGCAGAAGGAAGGATTGATACCCTTGAGATCAGAAAATTGCCAACCAATTGCCAGCTTATTCTTCTTAAGTACTTCAATCAACTTTCCTTCTTCCTCATCAGACAACATTGCATTAATGATTGCTGGATATGTTTGATCATCCCCAAGGAACACATACTTCAAATGTGAAGGTAATTCTTTAAGTTCTACCTTAGGTTCTCCTTTTGGAATGTCATCAATCTTCTTCTCAAGCTCTTCCACTTCTGGCTCTTCTTGGTAATCTTCTGTACCTGTCTCTTCTTCTGATCTTTCTTCCTCAACTGGGAATTCTTCTTCTTTATTCACTTCTTCCACAACCTCCTGTATCACATCCAATCTAAAACAATCCCCCACATCAACAGGGTGCTTGATAGTTTCAAATACATCAATTGTGATTGTTTCCTCATCCACCCTTAGCAACAACTTTCCTTGTTCAACATCTATCAAAGATCTTGCAGTTGCTAAAAAGGGTCTTCCTAACAATAGAGGACTTTCTGTATCCTCTTCCTCCATGTCAAGAATCACAAAATCCACTGGAAAGATAAACTTGTCTACCTTGACCAAGACATCTTCAACCACACCTTCAGGCCTCTTGATAGATCTATCTGCAAGATGCAGAATAAGATTGGTCTCCTTCAAAGTGTTGATTCCCAAAGCTCTACATACTGTCAATGGCATCAAGTTTATACTGGCTCCCAAATCGCACAATGCCTTTCCCACCTCCACATCTCCTATAGCAATAGAGATACTGAAGCTTCCAGGATCTTTCATTTTTGTTGGAAGCTTCTTCTGGATTAGGGCACTACACTCTGCTGTTAGGGCCACTGTCTCACCATCAGTTAATTTCCTCTTCTTAGTAAGAAGATCCTTCATGAACTTTGCATAGTGAGGCATATTTTCCAGTGCTTCAGAAAATGGTATGTTAATTTGTAAATTTTTGAAGATATCCAGAAATCTTGCATAGTGCTGTTTCTGAATCTCTTGCTTCAACCTTTGAGGGTAGGGAACTCTAGCATAGGGAGATAAAATAACTGGCTGTTCTTTCTTGTCAGCCATCTTCTTCTTTTCCCACTTCATCATCTTTTGTGGGGAAGCATTTTTACCAACTTCTACCTCTCCTTCATTCTTATTGTCCTTCCCTTCCTCTTCTTTCTCAATTCCAACTATAACATCTCTAACAACTACTTCCTTCTCACTTTTCTCATTTCTCATCTTCTCTACTTCATCATCAGAGACTACATCTTCAACCACAACCTCTTCTTCATTCTTTTTATTTTCCACATTCTTTTTCACTGGTTGAAGTACCAACCCACTTCTTGTCATAATTGCTTTACAGTGCTCCTTAAGATTCACTAATGTATCACCTGGAAATTTCCCTTGTGGTCTCTCTGATATCTGTCTTGATAATTGACCAATCTGGGTCTCCAAATTTCTGATTGATGCTTCCTGATTTCTGAAAGAAGTTCTGGTCTCCTGCATGAATGCAGTTGTCTCTTCCCTGAATGAATTAGACCCCTGGATATAATCCTGAGTTGTCTTAGATAACTGAGCAAAAGCTTTCTCCCATGCAGCAGGATCACTTGACTGCTCCTTCATATGTGGTGGTGTAGGATGTTTTGGTGGGTTCAATTGATGGTTGGAACTATAGCTGAATCCTGGGTGTTGATTCTTGTTCTTCCATGGTGGCACATAAACATTCCTTCCCTGATTGTTGTAGTTCCTTTGATTATTCTGATCATACCACACTCCATTCACCTCTGCTTGTTCTGGTGATCCCCCATAATCACACTCCTCTGTCACGTGGCCTTTGCCACAGATAGCACATACACTCTTGGTTTCCACATAAGCTACCTTTTGTGAAGAAAGTTGCTTAATAAGGGTATCCAACTGCTGCTGCTGTTGTCCCTGTGTCTGCATCAGTTGATCATTTCTTGCCAACAGAGCATCATACCCATCCAACCTGATGATTCCTGTCCTTCTGTCAGCCACAGGGGCATTATCAAATTCCTGAGATGCCAATGACTCAAAGATATCCAAGGCTTCTTAAGGAGTCTTGGTAGTCAATGATCCACCAGCAGTGGCATGCACCAAGGTTCTAGTGTTAGTGGTCATTCCTTGCAGGAAGATTGCTACTTGTTGCCATGCCTCAATTCCATGCTGTGGACATTTCCTCAACAAAGTCTTGAATCTCTCCCAAGCCTCATAAATGGATTCTGACTCTTTCTGCTTAAAGCTTGTAATCTCATCCTTCAATTTGGCCCTCTTGGATGCTGAGAAAAACCTCTGCAAGAACTTGGTTTGCAGATCATCCCAAGTTGTTATACTTCCTTGTGGCAATGATTGCAGCCATCTCCTTGCATCATCCGTCAGTGAATGAGTGAATAGTCTCAACAAAATTGCATCTCTTGTGACACCATTTATCTTCACAGTATCACTCAACAACAGAAAGTTCTCTATGTGCAAGGGTCCTCTGCACTGGTTCCAGCAAACTGATCCTTCTGCACCAAATGTATCAAAGCAGGCTTCAATTCAAAGTTGTTGGGCTCCACTGTTGGGCGCACAACACTCCCAATTGGAGGAATCACTGCAGGAGTCATGTACTCTCCCAGTGTCCTCTGTGGTGGTGGTGGTCTGTGATTCTCTGCCATTATCTCTTCCTGATTAACCGTACTGGATTCACCAATTTCTTGCAACTATCTCCTTTGCCTGGCTGCCCTTTTGTGCTTCCTCAATGTCCTTTCTAATTCTGGATCATACAACAACAAATTTGGATCAAGTGTACCTCGCATATACCAGAATCAAAATTGACCAAAAACTTAACATAAACTAAAATACTGAAAATAAAAGGATTCAATCTCAGAATTCTATGGTATCAGTTAGCGTTGAAAAACAAATTCCCCGGCAACGTGTGTGACCCATTAGGTCCAACTTAGCCACTGACATAAATGGGCTTGGGCTCAATAAGCCCACAACCCATCTAATGACAACACAGAGCACTAGCAATGCTTTGTTGCCCTAGAACTAGTTAGATTAATGATTTGATCATCCTATTAAACATATTTGGTTGCCGTATGTTTGTCCCTTCGTCTCAGTTACCTTCCCATAAAACCTAGGGTAAGGAAACGCATCAACCCTTGCGGTTTAGGGTTAGCTTTATATGAAATAAGGAGTCTTCAATTTACTGACTCTAAAGGCGGATCATCTTATGATCTCTTTTACTATGCATAGATTCCCGAGTCACTGTAAATGTCATCCTGATTTCTCCGATTTAAGGATAACCTAATCTCTCACAGAGATTTGACGAATTCCTTCAGCTTATCACCCTAGCCCTCTGCCCTATCAGGACAAGCCCAAGAGCATACCTAGGAGTCTCCATGTTTCAGGCAGACGAGGTATACAGTCAAAGCATGCCTTCTAGAACACAGTCTAAGTGATAACTTTTGGTCTAAGGAAAGACATACCCAAATATGAAGAGACTACTCTAATGATACTATCTGTGAGATTTCCTCATAGAGTCTCTTTGTGGGTCCGTTCAGTGCGAGCTATACCCTTATAGGTCCACCCACGACTTTAGCTAAGACATCTCCATATCTGTAGCACATGAGGTCTATACCTTGTATCCATATACAAGTAGATAAGTCGTGCTAGTCTTACCCGAGATTACTGACCCCATTCTCAGTATCTCTAGACTAGGAACATAAAATTAGGAATAAACATCCGGTATTCTTGAATCCTCATGATTGTGATCTCATCACAGATACTCAAGAGATACCTATTTTATTCCACGGGGTTTATCAAGTTATTCATAATATATTAACATTAATATCGAGACAGAATTATGAGACAAGATAAAGAGTGCTTTTATTTATTTGCAACAATATTAAAAAGGTCTACATCTCTGTCCTTATTTAATCATAAGATTGTCTCTAGGACACTGAAGATACCCCTTGATTTTCATTCCTGACCATCCTCTCTATCAGCTCCAGAGTTTCATTCGCCCTCATGGTTTTAATAGTACCACCAGCTGCACCATTCAAAACCATTCTATCTTCAGGTGTGATGCCATTGAAAAATATTCTGACTTGATTACCAGCAGTCAAATTATAATGAGGGCACCTCCTCATCAAGTCCTTGAACCTGTTCCAGGCTGCACACAATGTTTCACCCTCAGTTTGAGTGAAGTTGGTGATATCATTCACCATTTGATTGTATCTCTCCATGGAAAAGAACTCTGCAAAGAACTTTGTAGACAAATCCTCCCATGTAGAAATGCTCCGTGCAGGCTGCCTCTCCAGCCAGCTAAGTGCTTCTCCCTTTACAGCAAAAGGGAATAATCTCAACCGGATAGCATCATCAGACACCCGAGGGTGCTTGGTTGAGTCACATATCATTAAGAACCGGTCTATGAACCTGTGAGGATCCTCATGCTCATCTCCTCCAAATTGAACTCTCTCCACCAACTGAATTATGGAAGACTTCAACTCCCAATTATCGTCAGCAATATTCGGTTGGACATTAGGCCTATTGAAGGCTGGAGTGAGGATGGTATCCATAAGTGGATTTTCAGCTTCATTATTCGCTGCCATGGTTGGGATTTC